AGCACAGAGATAGTGCTTCAGACGACTGAGCAGATTCGGCAGGTCAGGCAGAGATTGCTGACGGCTCAGAGTCGTCAGAAGAGCTATGCGGATAGGTGTCGCTCGGAGCTCGAGTTTCAAGTTGGTGACTTTGTACTCCTGAAAGTCTCTCCTTGGAAAGGAGTGATCCGATTCAGGAAGAGGGGCAAGCTGGGGCCCCGGTACATAGGTCCGTTCAGGGTGGCCGCGAGAGTGGGCAAGGTAGCATATCGGTTGGAGCTACCTGCGGAGTTGAGCCAGATTCATGATACCTTCCATGTGTCTCAGTTGAGGAAGTGTATAGCCGACGAGTCGGTAGTGGTACCGTTGGAGGATATTCAGGTAGATGCGAGCCTAAATTATGCTGAGAGACCGATCGCGATCCGGGATCGGAAGATCAAGGTTCTGAGGAACAAGGAAGTGCCTCTGGTGCAGGTCCAGTGGCAACATCGGAAGGGGTCCGAGCTGACCTGGGAGCCGGAGTTGGAGATGCGAGAGCAGCATCCAGAGTTGTTTGTCGAGCAAGACTTCGAGGGCGAAGTCTGATTCTAGTGGGGGAGAATTGTAACATCCGGATTCCCAGGTATCTCATTTTAAGTATTTTATATTGAATTAAGAGGGGGACTCGGCGAGTAGGCGCTCAGACTCGCCAAGTTGGATCGCAATGTGTTGGTCTGATTTAATGGCGGACTCGGTGAGTCCATACGTGGACTCGGCGAGTCCATGCTGTTTAATGAAACCCTAATTTCTCAGGTTTGGGACCTATTTAAGGACCCTTATAGCCACCATTTGCGGCTACCAGACCCTAGAGAGAAACCCTAAGAGAGCTAGAGCGTTTGTGAGGAAAGAGAGGCCATTTCTGATCCTTGTGTTGTTATTCTTGCAAGAAGAAGGTGATCAAGGCAAGAGGGAGCTGGTTCTATTCTGAAGATTTCGGAGCCAAGGACTTCATATTTGAGGTATAGATTCGATCCTTCTTCAGTTTTGGTGTTAACCTTTGGAGTTAGGGTTTTCTAGACCCTTTAGAGGCTTGATTTGATGAGCATTTGGTTCCTTCTCGTATTAAGGCTTTGGATCTGGATCCAAAGAGGTCCAGAGACCTTAACCCCTTGGATCTTTATGATTGATATTGGGAGACATGAGCTTAGGATGTCATATTTGAGGTTATTTCTTCAAATAGAGTCTTTTGGCCTTTGCATGAGCATCAAGTTCTGAACTTTACGTGATTATCATGCTTGGGAAGGTCAGATCTATGGATTAGAGGAACAGATCTGACCTCAGGAGGTCATTTGAGTTTGAGCATGGCATAAACTCGCCGAGTCCAAGAACAGACTCGACGAGTAGGATTAGGTTCCCCGTGAATCACTCAGTTGGTGACCCGCTGAGTTGGGGAAATGACTCGGTGAGTCAGAGGGGATTTAGAGGATTTGAGTTCATGACTGAACTCGCCGAGTCAAGAGCCGGACTCGACGAGTTGGGACGGGTTGTCCCGCGATTCACGATCAGTGAGGATTTGAAGAGTGGAGGGTTGACTCAGTGAGTCAAGTGAGGACCAGGAGTGTCAAGGACACGCATGGACTCGCCGAGTCACATTTGTGCACTCGACGAGTCTGGTCAAGGTTTGACCGTTGACTTTTGTTGACTCTTAGGGATTGGTCAACAATTGGACTTGTGGACCGTTTTAAGGGTAAAATGGTCTTTTAGCCTTCTTATAGGACATGAGAGAGAGTCTAGTCTAGCCTGGAGAGCCGTTATTAATTGAGGTGATTGTTTATGTTATTAGGCAGAGGCTAGATCAGTGTATACGCGAGCGAGATATTATCCGAGATATCCGAGGTGAGTCTTCTCACTATAATTTATAGAGTTATGTGACAGAGTTATTGTATGCTATTATGTGATGTGTTGCACTGCATTATTTCTATGTGATTTATGCTGTGTGTATATCAGAGATAGGACCGGAAAGTCCACAGAGTTAGGACCAGAGGGTCCACAGAGTTAGGGCTCAAGGGCCCACAGAGTTATAGCCTCGAGTGGCTAGTATGTGTTATGTGTGGTATTTTGGGGAACTCACTAAGCTTCGTGCTTACAATGTTTTGTGTTATGTGTTTCAGGTACCAGTGAGGATCGCGGGAAGGCGCCGGCATGATCAGTACACACACACGCGGAGTTTTATATATGTTATGATCTTGGGATTTTGACTTATGTTTGGATATGTGAAACAATGAGTTTTATAATATTGTAAAATAAAGTGTTTTAAAAATGTGAAAATTTGTTTGAAATTTTACGGTGTTACAAATGCTCCTTGATAACATTCTTTTTCGCTTGGGTATGGCTCCGACTATTCCAGGAGCTCGCCAATTAGTTAACCATAGACATATTTTAGTCAATGGTCGTATAGTAGATATACCAAGTTATCGCTGCAAACCCCGAGATACTATTACGGCGAGGGATGAACAAAAATCTAAAGTTCTAATTCAAAATTCTCTCGATTCATCCCCCATGAGGAATTGCCAAACCATTTGACTCTTCAACCATTCCAATATAAAGGATTAGTCAATCAAATAATAGATAGTAAATGGGTCGGTTTGAAAATAAATGAATTGCTAGTTGTAGAATATTATTCTCGTCAGACTTAAACCTAACAAAAATAAAATCAACACTAATAAGAATAAGGAAGAATAAGGGTTCGACCCATTTTGCTTCCTTTCGGCGAAGTAAATTAACCTAAGGTTAAGATAAATAAGGGTTTGATCCGGATTTTTCTTCCATTTAGGTATCATAGACCGAGAGGGAGATTTTCATTCCTTGTCTACTCTACTCTTTTCTTTACACAATATTTTATGAACCACAGCCATTAGGAATAGAGAATCCATATCAAAGAAAGGTCTAACTGTTGGAATAGTCGTATCCATTGCTATTTGATCTATTGTGGTTAGTAAGATCGATGAATTAGGTGAAGGTACGGAAAGGAAAGAGAGGGATTCGAACCCTCGGTAAGCAAAAGCCTACATAGCAGTTCCAATGCTACGCCTTCAACCACTCGGCCATCTCTCCTACATAATGATTATGACCCAAAAAACTAAAATCGAGTGAATAGTGAATCATTCTAGATTATTGGGTAGGTACAACCAATCAACTCTAACTATAAAGCGATCAAAATCGAAAATTTTTCATCATAGTAAAAGAAGTATCTTTCCTTCTAGGCTGGGGGGATAAAGATAAAAAAAATTTCTTTCAAAAAATGTTCTCTTCTTTTTCTGAATTCTCTATTTATATATTTATACTATATCGACCGGACTAAATCAATAAATTAGAAATTCTAATGAATCAACTGAGCGAGGGATTTATATTTTGTAGACTATGGTTAATGGATATCTTTAGATCATGATTCTATTTAGACTACGATTCCATATCATAAGAATTCTCAAATTCCTTTCTAGACCAGTTTTAGAGTTATCAACACAAATCCTTATCCCATCTATCTATTATAAATAGAAATTGATAAACAATTTTTTTTATAGTTGATTGTATAGTGTATACCCCTAAGTACACAACACAAAAAAATAGGCGGTTATTCTATTTTCATCATACAATGATTATTCGATCCTTTTTCTTCTTTGTATCATAATTAAATCAACTGATGTTATTCTAAGCTGTAACTTCAATCAAATAAGAATAGTTTCTTTCGTTGGTAGACTATTCCAGTAAGATGGAATCGAATCCAATTACCATATTTCTTTCTTAGTTTTTATCAATTTCTGTAATGTAAAAAATAACAATTTGAATATTGAATTTTTGAATAGAAGAACTATATCTTTTTTTGTTTTTTTAATGAGAATCAATCTGTTTTTATGTTATTTCGTACTGTATAATTCTTTTCCTTGTGGGATTATTTTCCCACGAGAAGTAATGAGAACAATGATAGAATGGATTGCTACCTATGCCTAGATCGCAGATAAATGGAAATTTTATTGATAAAACCTTTTCAATTGTAGCCAATATCTTATTACGAATAATTCCGACAACTTTAGGAGAAAAAGAGGCATTTACCTATTACAGAGATGGTGCGATTTGACTTTTTTTATTTAATATCAGTCTTACGAGAAATACACATGATTCGTGATGGGGAAAAAAAGACAAAAATCTACACTTGTTGAAGGTAAAGTTTGGAAATAGAACAATTCCTTTTGTCGTGTATCCTCGATTAATGCAGCCTCAAATGCTATGTTTCAATTCTCGATTCTAGTATTGAGCGAAAGGTTATACCTATGTTATTACAGGTCAATCCTAGTCCACTAGTACCAATAGGCAGCAGAGGGGAAGAAGCACTACATCTAGGAATCAACAACACGAAAACTTTTGTTATAAATTATCCTTTTCTTTAGAAGGCCTTGGATTAAAAGAATGGTTAGGACAACAAACATCCATCTCGTTTGTATTTTGGATACCCGTATAACCATCGAAGGCTGTTGAAGTGACTAATTCCTAGAAATTGGGAAGCGTTGAGAACAAAGAAATTGTTGGAGTTATCATTTCTCTCTAGTACCAATATGTTTGATGTTAAGAAAGGATCTCTTGCAGGAAGGTTGGCTAGAGATTTCTTGTGAAAACACTAGCCCTACTCAGTTCATAATGATAAGATTTTCATCTTATTTATCATTTTATCATTATACACATAAGGGAGGAGTCGTATGCGATGAAAATCTCATGTACGGTTCAGTAACGGAGATTCTTTGAATGGAATGACGACCGTAACGGATGTCAGCTCAATCCGAAGGAAATTATGCAGAAGCTTTACATAATTATTATGAAGCTATGCGACTAGAAATTGATCCCTATGACCGAAGTTATATACTCCATAACATAGGGCTTATCCACACAAGTAACGAAGAACATACGAAAGCTTTGGAATATTATTTTTGAGCGCTCGAACGAAACCCATTCTTACCACAAGCTTTTAATAATATGGCCGTGATCTGTCATTACGTGCGACTACCTCCCCCTGTTTTTTGTTCGGTTCTCAAGTCTCTAAACTTATGAAGTCTTGTTTCTGTAGTGGACCAATTCGTTAACATACCACCGAGCCATTTTTTATTAACATAATGACACCGAGCCTTTATTGCAGCCCATGCTACTGAATCAGCTTCTTTATTTTTAGTGCCAACAATTAAGAATTGTTTTCCTCTGCTTGCTGCATAAAAACCAAATCACAAGCTTCTGATAAAAAACGAGCAGTTCTAGTAAGATTTGTAATATGAATACCTTTACGTTTTGCAGAGATATAAGGTGCCATTTTGGGATTCCATTTCCTAGTACCATGGCCAAAATGAACTCCTGCTTCCATCATCTCTTCTAAATTAATGTTCCAATATCTTCTTGTCATTTCTCCCCACACTGCCTCCCCCTTTTGAAAAAAAAGAGGTACCCTGAAATAAATAATTGTTCCGATGAAACCTTCTTTTATACCATAGATTGGAGTAGATACAATTATTCTTTTCTATTTGTTATTTTTTTATTACTATTACCAAATCAAATGACTGGACCAACATATCCTTTATAAAAGATAAAAGAAAGGAGTGAATCTGCTCTTAGAGATCATTAAATCCTAAAAAATGATTGTTCTTGTGTATCATGGAAATTATTTGAAAGGCAAGAATCAAATAATTTTCTGTGGTAGAACAAAATATATTTCATTTCCCCCTCCAATAGATTCTTTTTTTGGAGTTCAAAGGCAATGTTGTTAGGAATGTTGTTAGGTTCGCTTGAAGGTGTTTTGAAGCCGCTACCAACAGGTATCATCCCTGGGTTGTTTTCTACCAATTGGGGCCCTCCCTTCACCACCCCCATGTGGATGGTCTACAGGGTTCATAACTACTCCTCTTACTGCAGGGCGCTTACCTAGCCAACGCTTAGATCCGGCTCTACCCAAACTTTTCTTTTCTGGTTCACCCCAACATTCCCCACTTGTCCGACTGTTGCTGAGCAGTTTTTGGATATCAAACGGACCTCCCCAGAAGGTAATTTTAATGTGGCCGATTTCCCTTCTTTTGCAATCAGTTTCGCTACACCACCCGCTGCTCTAGCTAATTGTCCACCCTTTCCAAGTGTGATTTCTATGTTATGTATGGCCGTGCCTAAGGGCATATCGGTTGAAGTAGATTCTTCTTTTTTATCAATCAAAACCCCTTCCCAAACTGTACAAGCTTCTTCCAAAGCATACGGCTTTCTGGATGTAGATGGTGATATCTATACAGATGGATCTTATATACCATATATATATATATATATATATATATATATATATATATATATATATATATATATATATATATGGTATAATGAAGTACCACATGGGTGGATATATAGGAATCAAAATCTGCCGAATCACTCATGTTATGATCTTCTACATCCTAGGTCTTCCCGTTCCATCATCTGACTTATGTTCTTCATGTAGCATTCAGACCGGATGACTCTATTAAATTACGTTGATACTTCCACATATTATGGGTAACGTAGGAGACATCTCTATTTTCCCCCCGAGAATCTTTAGAATTACCACTGCTTAGCTTTCAATTCGCCTCTGACCATCAAATGAAATGTGAATAATCCGTCCTCTTCTCTTTGAAAGAAGGGGTGCTTCCGGTTCTATCGGTGCTTGAAACTATTTTGTCTTCTCCATATTACTATATCTCTAGACTCAATAATTTTATATGAGGAACTATTGAACTCCATCACTTGCTGCCGTTACTCTTCAGTTTTCTGTTGAGGTCTATCCTGTAGAGGTACTCAAATTGGATCAGTGATCGATTTCTAGGTTTCGTCGTAAACCTAATTGGAAGTAAATTGCTATATCTCTAGAGCAAGTACAAGTATTAGTAGCATAACAAAAAAGCGTTCCTCGTCATTAATATGTTTGCTCGCGGTAATTGTAGCCTCTCGGGAGAATCGATGACTGCATCTTTGATGCACTGCTAGTACTAGTACATCTGAGAATTATTAATTGGATAGTTGTAAATAGCCCCAGGGCTATGGAACAAAGGAGAATCCCGGGCCTACACTGAGGTGTTGACGGTGATTTTCAAATCTCCTCAAGTAGGATTCGAACCTACGACCAATCGGTTTACAGCCGACCGCTCTACCACTGAGCTACTGAGGAACAACGGGAGATTCGATCTCATAGAGTTCCATTACCGTTCTCAACCCATGACCAATATGAGCTCGAAGCTTCCTTCGTAACTCCCCGAACTTTTTCGTAGTGGCTCCCTTCCATGCCTCATTTCATAGGGAACCCCAAAGTGGCTCTATTTCATTATATTTCATCCATATCCCCAATTCCATTCATTTAATATCCTTTTAGTGTCATTAACATAACAGATGTCATTTCTAGACTATCTCTTTCTATTTCTATATATGGAAAGTTTCAAAATCATCATATAATAATCCATAAATTGCAATAGAAAAGAAAAAGGGAGGTTTGTGATGATTTTGAAATCTTTTCTACTAGGTAATCTAGTATCCTTATGCATGAAGATAATCAATTTGGTCGTTGTGGTCGGACTCTATTATGGATTTCTGACCACATTCTCCACATGGCCCTCCTATCTCTTCCTTCTCCGAGCTCACATTATGGAAGAAGGAGAAGAAGGAACCGAGAAGAAGGTATCAGCAACACCTGGTTTTATTCGACACAGCTCATAATGTTCATATCGATCTATTATGCGCCTCTGCATCTAGCACTGGGTAGACCTCATACAATAACTGTCCTAGCTCTACCATATCTTTTGTTTCATTTCTTCTGCAATACTCACAAACACTTCTTTGATTATGGATCTACCAACAGAAATTCAATGCGTAATCTCAGCATTCAATGTGTATTCCTGAATAATCTCATTTTTCAATTATTCAATCATTTCATTTTACCAAGTTCAATGTTAGCGAGATTAGTCAACATTTTTTATGTTTCAATGCAACAACAAGATTATTTTTGTAACAAGTAGTTTTGTTGGTTGGACAATTGGTCACATTATATTAATGAAATCAATTGGATTGTTAGTAGTTTGGATACGCAAAAATCGATCTATTCGTAAGTACATTCGATCTAATAAGTCCTTTGTGTCAGAATTGGCAAATTCTATGTCTATAGCTGGTATCCTTAATATTTTCTTATTTGTTACCTGTGTGTATTATTTAGGTAGAATACCGTTACCCATTATTAGTAAGAAACTGAACAACCTCGAGAAAATGGACCAAGCGAAGCTTAAAAACAATACACCGCTTTCTTATATGTATGAGAATCAAGAAGATTTGTATTTAGAAATACTTGGCAAAAAAGATGTAGAAAAATCCTTTTCTTTGTTTGAAAAACCTATTCTGACCTTTTTTTTCGATTATAATCGATGGAATCGTCCATTACGATACATAAGAAAAATAAATAAAAAATTGTCTGTAAGAAAAGAAACGTCACAGTATTTTTTTTTATACATGTCAAAGTGATGGAAAAAAAAGAATATCTTTTACATATGCTCCCAGTTTGTCAAGTTTTGGGGAAATGATAGCAAGAAGGATATCGTTGTCTACATTAGAAAAACTCTCCGCTGATGCACTATACACCGAGTGGCTTTATACCAACAAAGAGAAAAATAACAACTTAAATAATGAATTTATAAATAGAATTGAGGCTTTAGAGACAGTATTTCTTTCTATAAACATACTTGACACAAAGACTAGATTGTGTAATGTTGAGACTGAAAAAAAAAGAATTGCCTAGTTAACAAAAAGAATTACCTAGTTAAAATGGATGATCCCTTTTTGACTGGGATGTATCGTGGAAGAATCAATAAATTGTTTTCATCTTCAATCATAAATCAAATTTCTATAGAAAATTGCGCAAAAACATATGAACTAAATAAAATTCATTATAGCCTTATTCCCTATCCTAATTCTCGAGAATATGAACCTAAAATAGATCCTAATTCTCCAGACTATGAACAGAAAATAGAAAAATTAGAAAAAATCCAAGCCCAAATTGATTTAAATAATCAGTTCATTTTTTTATGGACCACAATTATAGCTAAACTTAGAGGTCAAAAAAACTCTAGTGGAATAAACGAAATCGGTAAAAAAAACCCCCTCGATGGTCATACAAATTAATAAACGAGTTACTCCAAAATTTTAAAAAACGACGAAAAGAACAAGGCATAATACAAGGGCTGGGACACACATATAGATTTTTTAAATCGTTCGACACGA